AACAATCAAGTGAGTAAGGGAGGAAGGGAGAAGGTGTCAGGTAAAAACAGCAGGAGTGTGAAGTCTTTTTGTTTTTACTGACCCTCCCCAGGACACACTCTGCCCCCATGTTCTGTAGCTGCCACGTGGGCTCAGCCCTTGCCTGTTCACTTGTATCAAGAAATTCAAAATGGTAGCATTTTGAGATCTTGCCTTTTATGGGTTCATTGATTTTTGTTAATTTGTCATATGTAAACATGTGTCATTTCTGATTCACTTATCCCAGTGCAGTGGTATACATCATAAAGCCAAGATGTTATCTGTACACGTTCCTTGTGCAGTCTGGTTTCAGACAAGTTAAAAATCCTCAGGCTGTGCTGGAGAAACCTGCAATTAAGTATTAGAATTCCATTTGGTGAAGTTAACTGTATCCTGTGTGTATCCATCACATTGCTAAAGGTTAAATACACTGTCATTGTTTAACTGGCAGAGTGTAGACTAGACTTCCAAAGTACAATGCCTAAGACAACATAATGTCTATCTCTGTATCTATTTTCATTTAAACCATTACTTGGCAAAGAGTTAAATAAATTCCAGCCACCAAGATTATTACATTTTTCAAGAATCAAAAAAATACTAATACCACATTGCCAAGTGCAATTATGTCTGGCTTCAAACAGCTTAATGGCTCTTCTAAAGAAATCTGATTCCCTTTACTCTGGTGACATTCCTAAACATATTTCGATGACAACTCAAACGATAAGCATAGATACAACTATATAATTTGTATACCTTGTTTGTAGCAGTTGTATAGTAATACCATGAAAACTGCTTGTAGTTACCAGGTAGTTGTTTTGTTGCAGAAAACACCAGCAAAAGTAGGTCATTGCTATGCATAACATTCCTTCTGAAAGTCTACAGGCCTGTGGAGACATTGAGTCGGGGGCAACAGGTTGACCTGTTGTTATTTTATCAGGTATAGCCCTGGGATATTTCCATTAAGATAATACAAATGGAACAATATATTTATAGATGGAATGACAGCGAGGATGTGTGAACTAGTAACTGGCCATTAGAAGTACATTAACGAACCTCAGTACAAGCCGGGAATTAAGCAAATGAAGCTGCAATGACATGTGCCATTCAATAATTATCTATAATTGGAAAGAGAATTGTTATCAAATTCTAAGCTGTTCATTTGTCCACATTAGCGATCATGAAAAGCTGCCGTGATCTCTAAACACAAACATGCTAGAAAATGTTCTTTAGTTGAAGGCAGAAAAATGCTCATTTTGTTACAAAACTAATAGTTAATTATTCCCATTACATACATACAATAGAAAAAGCAGAAGCCAAAGATTAATGAAGAACTCTGGGCAGTAATAATCAATCCTTGCAGTGGGACTACCCCCACACAAGTGCTTATTTACATCTAGGAAGTCAAATAAAAAAAGAAATACTGGAACCGTGGACCCGTCTGACTGCTAGACCAATCCCTGTAGCCTTGCTCCCCTCCACTGTGGCGGTCTAAGAACATGTGATTCATCACTTACAATACAGTGCATTGGATGTGAGGGTGCTGAGCCAGGCGGATCCACGGTCCGGTCAGTACAACTGCAGCAAATTAGGTCCAAATCAGAATGACTTGGCCAGCCCACATATGAAAAATGTTGTCAGAACAATGTCATTGCAGACTTGTAGAATGTCGTTTCCTTGTTTGCTTGATTTTACCGTTCCATTTTGGAATGAATGCAGTTCCATCCTGCTCTACTATGATTTTTCAGACATAATTTCTTCCTACATCAGTGAATTCTGTGGATAACACTCATATCTTTTTTATATGCAACTGACCCAAAAAGCATTTCTAAGCATAACGCATGTTAAATCCATTTCTAAACATGTGTTTTTATAAATACCTAAGAGAGTATGTGTATTAATGTCATCTATTGAAGAAATTATTATGATGTTTATAAACAAGATGGACACAATTATATCAATCAAGGGAGTCCGTTTTCTACTTTCAAGCATTTCTAAATTCATGAAATTTTGACCTTAAGAGACTAACTATTAATCGCGTGCACATAGCTGGTTTGATGAAATTTGATCATAAATTAAGTTCTTACTGTCTTTCCAATTAACCTCTCCTGAGATTTTGTGTGTTGTCATTTGGGATAAACATAATTTAAATAATCACCACCCAAGGAGAATAGAGGGAGTTTTGTTAATTGGTATGTGTGTGTATATATATATATATATATATAAATTCTAGTGGCAATGTAATAAAATAAAATTATTTTTGTATATTTTTTTATTGATTATGTATGTTGGATACCCAAAGCTTTTAATTTTACTGTATATCTCTGTTTCATTTACGATTGAAATTGATCCTCAAACCCCTTTTTAAAAAGTCAAACAAATCTTTTTCTTATGAAATTCTACAGATGTACGGACAACTTAAGCGCTAATACAATGTTGTACATTTGATTGGTCTGCTTTACTAAGAAGTCAGTAGGAATTCATCAGTCACTATAGTCAAGGTTGATCCATAACTTTTACTGACAGTCATCTCAAGGACACGCCAGACACTCCCACTTACATAGGGTTCTCAACTTGAATTTATTAAACACATAAACTATCCATCATGGAATGTTAGGGGTGATTTGGGGTGAAGGTTGAGCTATTTTTTACTGCATTGTTTTTGCTAGCCATTTTCTTTCATCAAGTCTATCGTTCTTTTTTTGTTACACTGTCCTAAGTGTCCTTATTTATATCTGTTATCTTGTGTACAATAAAAGTGTTCAATACATTCTTTATTTAATCCTTTCAGAAAACCGGTTGTAACAGATTAAATTATTAGTGCCATTTGACCTTCCAGAAATGTAGATCAAAACCCTTACTAGATGAGTTTTATTTTGCTAAAGCACCATATATCAGAAGCTATTGCCATATGTTTATTTTACATAAAACGCTGTTTTTACCTTTTTTCCATCCTTTTTGCATCACAGCGCTAATAATCTTTTCCAACCTTCCAGCCCGCACTGCATTGCGCCAGAATCGGCTGTCTGATAGTGACAACATTGGGCCATGTGTGTGGGCTGTGTGTCAGCAGGGCCACTTATAGTCTGTATCAGGAACATATGACACGTTCACAGTGCAGGAGTACAATTAGGAGACATTTGTCACCCCATAACAGGGAGTATCTGAACAAGGACCTTCATGGCAGGATCAAGTATTAGGTAGTATTATATTAATGAGCGCTACAGATATAAAAAGGTTGGAAACAACTTTTTAAATTACATGTAAGGGTCTATTCACTAAGCTGCCATAGGCAGCCGAGTGAATGACCGACCTAAAGCGAAGTGAGCCGAACGCTGTTCGGCTATTCACTTCAGGCTGGTACGGCTGATTTCAGCCGTATATGGGCTGAAATCAGCCATGCATCGGGTGGCTTCGGGTCGGCCGAACATGCTCTGCATGTTTGGCCAACCCGAAGTGCAGGAGGAGTTCGACTCAGCGGATCCAACATCTGGATCGGCTAATCCGAACCTCCGGCAGGCTACTCGCTGCTGTTCGGTCTATTCTTATAGATGCCGAACAGCAGTGAGTGAATAGCCGAATGCCGCTGAGCGGCATTCGGCTCGGCTGTTCTGCTCGGTCCCTCAAAGGTACCGAGCAGAACAGAAAAATAGTTAAAAAAGTTAAATAAAATAAATAGAAAACGATTGTGCGGAGCTAGCAATGACAGCTAGCTCCGCCCAATAGTTTTCTATTGGCCGGCGGTTCTGCTGCTGTCAAAAAAAAAAACTCCCGGGCGCTCTGGGAGTCTCCCGCTCCTGGCCGCCCAGGAGAGAAACACTGCTTTCTCTTTTTTTTTTCTTTATTCTGACACAGAGCCGTGTCAGAATAGAAAACAAAATAAATAAAAATGTTTTGCCCATAGGAATGCATTGCTAGATTCCTATTGGCTATTACAATTTGCAATAGCCAATAGTAAATTAGCATTGCACCCACCCTCTGCTGCAGTTCTCCATCAGGTCCATCGGCAGAGGGCGGGTGCAATGCTAGTTTACTAGTGGCTATTGCAAATTGAAATAGCCACTAGGAATCTAGCAATGCATTCCAATGGACAAAAATTATTATTTTTTTCTATTCTGACACGGCTCCGTGTCAGAATAAAGAAAAAAAAAAAGAAAAAGCAGTGTTTCTCTCCTGGGCGGCCGGGAGTGGGAGAGTTTGCTGTCTGGAGATCAGTGTCCTGGTTAGCTGGTAACCAGGGACGCTGATCTCTCTGCAAGTGACCGGAGCCAGCCGTAAGATCACGGCTGGCTCCGCCCAGCTGTCAGAAGCAGGCTGTCAGCCGGCCAATGATCGGCCGCTCGGCCAGCTTCGGCTTTCAGCGCGGCTCAGCCGAGCCGAGGCATATGCCTTCGGCTCGACTAAGTTCGGGAGCTGTACGGGCTATTGTGAATAGCCCGTACATCAGCCCTTCGGTTCTACTGAACCGAAGGGGTCCTGGGGCCGAAGCTAGCCAAAGGATCGGCCGAAGCTGCGGCTAGATCCTTCGGCTGCTTCGTGAATAGACCCCTTAGTGATTGGGTTAAAAACTAGCTAAATTAACAATTACTTTGGACACAGGGCTGCATGTGATAGCAGAAGAGGTGTGTCATAAGTTAGGGTTATGTAATATACAAAGTAGGTATAGAGGCACTCACAGGTCTTGCAGTGGACATAAGTCAAAGCATCAGCGTTTTGAATTGTCAATGTTTCGGCGGTGCTCAGTCCATCTTGATAAAGAAACCTGTGAGTGCCTCTATATCTACTTTGGATTTGTATGGATTTTTGTTGTGAATGAGCACCCAGGCATATACAGTATGTGTGTGTGTGTGTATATATATATAAGGTATAATTAATGGGTAGAGGAAATATGAAACTCGATGGCTTTCTAAGATCATTTTATAGCATGTGTTATATTCTGCCTCAGTAGATGACAACTAGTAATTATGATATATCTGTTTGCACAGGTGGCCTACGCAAGTTGCATCTTCTACAGGACTCTGCCGGTATGGTAACAGGATTGACTGCTGTTGGGGGTGGGCTCGACAATCTTGGGGACATTGCACACGTAAGTATGGTCATCCCTGGGGCTTAATGCCATGTACGAGGGGCTTTTTGAAAAATCTAATAAAAGCTTCCATACATTATAGCAAGGCTTATTTAACAAGGGCTTTTGCACGTGCAGATGTTTTAGGATGACTCTCACTGACCATTATTGATTTAGTAAAGATGCTCTAGCATTCCAGCTCTGAAATGTAATGGTTGTGGAGCCATAAATACTAAGCAGTTTTACTTTTTAGGACACTTCTCAACACAGAAGCTTCCCATAGTATGACCGCTTCATGTGTATGGAAATGCTTTGTGAAGTAGCCTTGCTTGGTACTTATGTGCCAGTTTTTGTGAAGGAACTCTGAGGGAACCATGCCCATTTTCAAAGATCACTAAACCTAAAATATAAGCTGGCTGACATACAAAGCTGCAGGTAACATTCACAACATATATTGAAATGGTGCATTCCCAACAATTATTTCAAGTATTTGACACTGTGTTTACATGTATTATCCAGCTTAGTGAGGGTTATTGTTTGATGTGACCTTTTTTTTCAGAGAAAATCTGAACTGTCAGGAAGTCTATAGTATGTACAAAAGAGTATTCCTGAACACTAGACATGTGCACTGCCAAAAAATTTGTTTCGTTTCGTTTTAAATTCGGATTTGTGTTATTTCGTTTTTCAGGATTCGGGTGTGAAAGTGAATTCGGATTCGGAATTCGGATTCGGACGAAATTCGGTAGCGTTAGTACGAACGTTCGTTTCGTTTTCTGTTCTTATTCGTTTCTTATTCGTTTCGTTCGTTTGCAGCAAAAGTGACATTTGAGGGGGAAAAAATATTTTTCTCCTTCTCTAATGTCACTTTGCTCCAACGAACGAAACGAATAAGAAACGAATAAGAACAGAAAACGAAACGAACGTTCGTGCGAACACTACCGAAATTTCGGAAATGGAAATTCGGATTCGTTTGCATTCGTTATGTCTGTAATTCGGAATTCGGAAACATCCGAATGTCCGAATTTACGAAAATTCGTCCGAATTTCGATTCGGAACGAAACGAATCGCACATGTCTACTGAACACTCAAACTATTTCAAACATCTTTATGTCCAAGAAGTCCATATAACCTTTACATATACATGTATGAATGCTGTCTGCAGCTTGTATATATTGTGTCAACTTACATTCTTGGTTTAATGGTCCTTTAACACCTCTGTTGCTGAAGGGTATTTGGAGTCAGTCATTTAATCTTTTGTGACATCCAGATTGCTCTAGACAGATTATGTGGATTTGGGTTGAATTGACTACTATAGCAATCGGTATTTTCTTTTTGCTTGTGTTGCAGTTTGAGGGGTGTAGAGAGGTCAGCATTTGACAGTTGCTTACATTTTGAGATAATACAATTTTAATATGAGATATTTGACAGATTTGACAATGTTTTTTTATTAGCTATGTATATAGACACACGCATTAATAGTAATGTTCTCTGCAGTGCTGACAGATTGGCCAATAATTGCACAGGATTTTCTGCTAAGTTGGTTTTTGTTGCCACAAAACATGCCTCCTTGTAGTTCTCAGCACAATGCTTTCAGTGCCAGAAGTTAAAACAGTGCCCCCCTAAATACCTAACTGCTTATGCAACCTTACCCTTAGGATACTCCTCACACTAAACCCTAAATTGTTCCTTGCCTAATACATAGCCCTGAAGCTAACTCAAAAACATAACCCTTAACCTGACTTTAACCCTTATGCGTACCTTAACCCTTCAAATTAACCTTTAACACAAACTGAGCCCTAAAACATACTCTTAACTTAACCTTAACACCTAAACCACACCATTAAGTTAACCCTTTCAAAGACATGCTTACCTTGTTTTAGCCTGAAATATTTAACCATCCGTTGCTGAGATCAGCATCCAGAACTCTCAGTCCCTGCACCAAAAACAAGCAGAGCTGAGGTGGCAGCAGCTAAACCAACTGATTCAGATTTTCCTGGTAAATTACGTTAAACTGATTTATTGATCTCAGTTTGATACTATATTGATTTACTGTTTTTCAATATCTCTATAAAACAGTTATAAATCCATACCACTTCACAATTCTACTAACCATGATGCACACAGATCACTTCTGAAATGCTTGTTTTAATGCACAACGTGTAAAAAGCTGTCTTACAATACTATTCCTTTGGATATGATTTGTTATGTAATCATTTCTAAAATACTGTAGCTGTGTGTTTCCAGCAATGTTCTCACTACTGTTCATAACATATTTTGGAAGTTAAACCACTACCAATGTGATGAAGTAAAGCATGCCAATGCCTGTAAATAAAGACAATATTTAAGTAAAAATTATTATTTGAAGGTAGAAATTTATGAATACATGCTAAACAAGTAAACTCCATCAAACCAGACCATGCAAAGTCAAAAGATTTGCAGTATATACATTCTTTTGAAGGACCAGACTCCCTTTTTGTGTATAGACTAAAAAGGTGCCACTCAATATATAAAGTAATTATGCTAAAATGTAACACATCAAATAATCACTTAGAAACATACATATATGTGATTAAAGTATTTCAGAAGCAGCTCAATGCTACTTAGAAGCAATGAAAGTTAATCAACCCACCACTCCCGCTTATGACTCTAGCTGGCTATATGTTATTGAGTTCTTTATTTATACTCTTTTTACAGTTTCTGAAATCTTAGGGCTAAACACAGGAAGCTGCAGGGTTCTCTTCATCTTCTCCTCTTCCAGGGTTGGGCGGTCCTTATTGATACATGAACCCATGTGACTATGTCAGCGCCACTCTCTGCACCTGTACACTATAAATGAAGGTGCTGTGTTCCGACCCCCTTAGAGGGCCTGATCAAGTTCTCAGTCTTCTGGGCTTATGGGTTTCTGGGCATTATCTTGTGGCCAAAAAGAGGTACTCTGGGGGACAGCTCCAGATTAAAGATCAATATTGCAGCCAGAGCAACTTTCATTTTGTTTCAGCACCTAGGGGACATTTAAAAAAAACAAAAAACATTTTAGCCTGGAATTCATCTTTAAGCATAAGCCAAGATGAAAGCAAGTTAAGTCAACACCAAGGCACGCTATATTTCACTTGCTTCTTATTCTTAAACTTTGCACAAACATCCTAGAGTGACTTTACTGGTAGTAAGAAGTTCTAGACTGGAAAACAAACTTCTGTAAACATGAAAATGACTGTGCATGTTATTTGCACCACAAGTTAATAGGTTTAATGGAAAGCACCAGACAGTATGTGTATAGTGAGATCCCTTGCTTTCTGTGTACTTGGGTGGTTAAGAGGGGGATTACTGGCAGAAGTAGTGAAGCAGTTCAAAACTCTTATAAGCAGATGTGACTTCATATGCAATGAAAAACAAATAACCCTCTAATACAGAGCTATATTCCACAAATCAAGCACACTAAGGGAAACCCGAAGTGTACATTGCAAACAGTTGATGAATCTCCTTCCACTATAAAAGTCATATCGCAATTCATTGACTTCTATTTATGCCCAACAAAGTTCAGAATGAGATCAGCTCTCTCTAAATGAATGGTGTGAAGTCCTTCTCAGCTAGAGACATTACATTTAGAGGTCAGCTCTCTGTAAACTTATAAACATACCAGCATAAAGTAACCATTTTGACGCAATAAAGCTAAAAATGTAACTAGTGAGTTTATTTAAAACTGAAACACACAGACATTAAAGTGACACTAAACTCAAATGCATTTAAATTTCCCAACTATAAACAAAAATGTATCTTATTTGTGTATCACTCGGCTGTAGATCCTCAAATCATCTCTGAATTGGTGCTGACACTGTCCTTCCTTCTGGAGGGTGGCTACTTTTCTTCCCCGTGTCCCTGTGTGTGTTGTAAAGTAGTCACCGCTCCGAGGTCACTCCTGAGATGGACTTTAATCTCAATCAAAATTAGGAAACTAAACATGAGATTGTAGTCCCTCACGGGAGTGAGCTTGGAGTGGTGACTATTATACAACACACACAGGGAACATGGGGAAGAAAAGTAGCCACCCTCCAGAAGGAAGGACAGTGTCAGCACCAATTCAGAGATGATTTGAGGATCTACAGCCGAGTGATACACAAATAAGGTACATTTTTGTTAATAGTTGCTGTCCATGTGATCTTGAGAGTCACACAATTCTGTCTGGGAGGGCATGATACCTGACTTCAATAAACAGCACATTGAAATAAATCCCCTCTCCCCTTATTCTTTAGGACCTAACAAATATGTTGAGTGCTATGGATTAAGGTTTAGGGTCAGATGAGGGTTATCATTCCACTACTACTACTATATAAATCATAGTTCTGAGATAACATGTTAGTAAAAAGTAGCTATGTGTGAACAGAGTCACTGACCTGAAATAAGTATGTAGATCACAAAAGTGGCAGAAAAGACAGAAGTCATCTTCCGTATTGTGGTTCAGCAACACCGACTAGAGGGTCATCACGACAGCCAGGCAACTGGAATTTTCAGTCAGCAATGTCAGTCCCCATATTTCTCTTATGATATGTTTCCTTTACACATTTCACAAATATAGGAACCATTGTTAGCATTTTGCTGTAGCCTACATGTCTTTGCACGTATTTTACATGTAAAAGGTGTACATTTACTTTGCACTACATTAGTGAAATAAATATTTACTTAGAAACCCATCTTTATAAAGACTGCCTGGGGCTTCAGGGTTCTAAACTTTACCTACATGTACAGGAAAATATGATTCTAACCCATTGCCTGCCGCACACCCCTGGAATACTTACTTTCATACAATACAGTTTCAGCTAAATGTTTCATTGCACAAAGCTGAACTTAAGATAGAATACATTATTTGAAACATTTTTGGCCAAAAATAGCTTGTTGAACACGAAGCCAGCTGACACGATAGATGACAGAGCACACAACACAGAGGAGCGCTGTGTGCTGTAGACTGCCCTTGGCTGTGTATGATCTGTAAATAACCGATCATTTATTCCTAATCATAAATAATA